TACTAACTCAGAACGTGATTTTCAGGGCTTCCCTCCACTACTCACCAAATGTGCAAAACTAGAATGAATCTTCTGCTAAAACATGAACCATACGCCGCCATATGTTGTCTTTTGTGCAAGTGGTGACTAGTGAAGTGAGGCCCTTAGGGGCACTGCAAGTAAGAAAAGGAAAACAAAAAGAAGAGAGTGCTACTGTAGAAAGTAGTAGCACCCCTTAACTGCTGGATCACAGACCTGAGTTCGAATCCAGAGCATTTATTTGTTATGTACCTGATTGAGCTTCCAGTTCACAATGAATTCACACGTTCCAATACACGCATCCATTGCAGAGTAGACTCGAAGGAGGCAAATCCACACAAAACCGGAGAGAGAGATGCACAACGGAAGCTCAAAATACACAGAGAATTGAAAAACGAATTTCAATTCTGCAATTCCCCGTCCTCAATACTTGCTCCAAGAATCACAACCGTGTTTAGAACAACCCTGAACAACCAAAAACAGGTGTTCAATGAAATATGCAGGACTCTCCTTCTTCCTCCTCGCCACCTCATCACTCTGGCTATGGCTTCCGTAGCAGCAGTAACCCCACAGCTGTCACAACGTGCCAATCTGACCCAGCAACCCCAATGATAGCAGCGCCAGCTCAGCGCCCGCACGAGAGTGCAGCGCTGGAAGTCCTGATGAAGAAGGAGACAGCCGATCCAACACTCCGAAGAAGATGGAAGTTCCTCATGAGGAGGAACAGCAGATATGGCCGCCAAGTGGAAATGGGAGCACCCAAACCCAACAACACAGTCCTGTGGAAACTCTCATGCAGAGCTGCAAAATAACAGCAGTGCGATCTTCAACTTCGTTTCCCAACCCCAGCTATGGCTGGGCTTCAAGGAAGAAGATGACCTCGCCCAAAATAGTGCAGCAGCGCTCCAGCAATGGACGGGCAGATTTTCCCCAGCAAAACAAGATAAGAAAAAAACCAACTTTTTTCACCTCCCGCTACTTCTAGACTCACGGACTAGACCTATTCCTCAGGCAACAGCCCAAGACTCGTATGTATCTAGATGGAAATCGGGGAAAGGGGACCTAGACCTAGGACAAGGCAAAAGAAAAGGCCGAATGGCCTAAGACTACCACACAGAGACCACTGGTGACAGACTCAAGGATCAAGCCCAATAGGGCTCAAACTCGCAGAGAGGCACTGCAATTCATTGCATATTGCTGGCCTGCTCGTATCAGAGTCAAAATTTGATGAACGTCTCTGCTAAGAAAAGGGACCCTTGCTGATTTTCTGCTGGGGGCCCTTTGGAAAAGAGACTGGATCCAAAGAGGAGGAGGATGCGGCCCCATTTTATTTTTTTCCTGTGCACATACAATTTTCAGAAGGGAGGGGCACGTTTGCCTACCACAGCCCGCCCTTTCCTAATTTTTAAAATTTTCAATCAATCCTGATTATTGGGGTGCGCCGCAACACGTGTGCGTGCGCAACTCGCTCGCACATGATGCACCACAAGTATGCTATGAACTGAGTTCACGGGTGAAAAAATCTGAAAAATGGAGGGCCCGTCGATTCCGTTATGATCTTTCCAGGGAAAAAAAAAAAATAAAATAAAATAAAAACTGAGTGGGGAACCGGGCCGCCCGGGTGACAGGCCGCGGCCCGGGGGAGGTCCTGGGCGGCCTGGACGGCAGGGCACCCTGTTGGTTGGCGGGGCCCCCCAGCCCAGTCACCTGCCGGGGGGGTTCGGACCCCCTTTCGGCTGCTGCTGGCCTCCTGCAGGCCTACCGGGTCCGACCGGCCCAAAACACCTCAGCCTTGGGCCCGGTAGGCCTGCTTTGTTTTTTGAGTTTATTGTCGGCTTTGTGGCCGTCGATCCTCCATGATCGTGGCCGTCCCCGTGTTATCTTGGCGCCAAAATCCCTCCCCCCCCTTCAAACCTTCGATCGGCTGGGGTGGTCTGCCACTCGCCCCCCAGCACGATCCCAGTTGCTGACCTCCTGCTGCGTCGCCGCCCATCGCCCGTTGCCATCGCCATCAGGTGTGCAGCTGCTGCTGCTCCAATGAAGGCCCCGACTGTCCTGCCGCTGCTGCTACGACGAAGGCCCTGACTGTCCTGCTGCTGCTAATACGACGAAGGCCCTGGTGCTACGACGAAGGCGCCGTTCTTCTTCTTCTTCTTCTTCTTCTTCTTCTTCTTCTTCTTCTTCTTCTTCTTCTTCTTCCTCCTCCTCCTCCTCCTCTTCTTTGTGCCCATCGCCTGTCGCCTGTCACCATCACCATCAGGTGTGCAAGGAAGGCCCCGACTGTCCTGCTGCTGCTGCTACGACGAATGCCCCGACGACGAAGGCACCGTTCTTCTCCTTCTTCTTCTTCCTCTTCTTCTTCTTCTTCTTTTTCTCCTTCTTCTCCTTCTCCTTCTTCTTCTTCCTCTAGTTCATCGACATTCGGTAGGTGACGTGAGACACGACAGGTTTCAAAAAAAAAAAAAAAAAACACGACCATCCTCCTGCCCCTACTTCTCCGCGCATCTTCTTCTTCTCCTTCTTCTCTCCTCGTCGTCATCTCGTCTTCCACTTCTTCCCCTCCTCCCACTCGCGTTTTCATCTTTCCCCTCGACCTTTCTTGATCTTCTTCTTCTTCCCCTCATCACCTCTCTTCTTCTTCTTCTTCTTCTTCTTCTTCTTCTTCTTCTTCTTCTTCTTTTTCTTCTCCCCTCATTAGGTCTTCCTCTCTCCTCCTCTTCTTCTTCCCCTCCTTCCCTACTCCTACCTGCCTTTCTCCATACCCTACTGCCGCCGCCATACCCTATCGCAGCCATACTTCTTCTCCATCTTCCATCCCTCCCTCCCTCCATCCCATCTTGCCATCCTCCATCATCCATCCATCCATCACTCCCTCCATCCCATCTCCCCATCCTCCATCCTCCATCCTCCATCCCATCTCGTCATCCTCCATCCTCCATCCTCCATCCTCCATCCCATCTCTCCATCCTCCATCATCCATCCATCCATCGATCACTACCTCCATCCCTCCCTCCATCCAATCTCGCCATCCCTCCGTCCCTCGTCTTCCACTTCTTCCCCTCCTCCCCCTCGCGTTTTCATCTTCCCCTTCTACCTTTCTTGATCTTCTCCTTGTTCCCCTCATCACCTCTCTTCTTCTTCTTCTTCTTCTTCTTCTTCTTCTTCTTCTTCTTCTTCTTCTTCTTCTCCCCTCATTAGGTCTTCTTCTCTCCTCGTCTTCTTCTTCCCCTCCTTCCCTACTCCTACCTGCCTTTCTCCATACCCTACCGCCGCCGCCACTATCGCGGCCATACTTCTTCTCCATCTTCCATCCCTCCCTCCCTCCATCCCATCTCGCCATCCTCCATCATTCATCCATCCATCCATCACTCCCTCCATCCCATCTCGCCATCCTCCATCCTCCATCCTCCATCCTCCATCCTCCATCCTCCATCCCATCTCGCCATTCTCCATCTTCCATCCTCCATCCTCGACCTCCATCCTCCATCATCCATCCTCGCCATTCTCCATCCTCCATCCTCCATCCTCCATCATCCATCCATCCATCGATCACTACCTCCATCCCTCCCTCCATCCCATCTTGCCATCCCTCCGTCCCTCCCATCTCGCCATCCCTCCCCCAATCCATCCATCCATCTTCTTCTTCTTCTTCTTCTTGGACGTTGTTAAGCAGTCTCCCTCCATCCCTCCATCCTCCCATCTTGGCAACATACAGGCAGAGCCTGCAACCCCCAGACACCCCCCCAACCCCAGCAACCCCCAGCCACAGACCAACCCCCCCACCTCCCCCAAACCCTTGGAACCTCGACCTTCCACCATTACTGATGGGGTAAGACTATGCCTTCACCATATTCACTACAGTCACCTGTAAGAATTTAGGTACGCGCCCGGTTTACCCAGGTGGTGTCCTCACTCAGAATAAAAAACCATTTCAACAACGAAATAAATCACCGCGGCAATCGCCGAGCTATTGATGCCGAGCCGAAAAATGCCCTGCGCGCTGCCAGCACCACCGTTTTATTTTTTTTCAGGCTGGTGTCGCAGTCACTGTGGTCCGGTCCTCTCTCTCTCTCTCTCTCTCTCTCTCTCTCTCTCTCTCTCTCTCTCTCTCTCTCTCTCTCTCTCTCTCTCTCATCCCCCCCCCTCTTCCTCTCAGCCCCATTGTCTTAGCTCATTGGGCCAGGCTCTCAATTCGCAACCCTAAGGCCACCGTATGGTGGGTTTGAGCATCTGCGTTTGGAGCACAAAGTCTCCACTGTAAGGGAACACATCACTTCCCCTCCCAGTCTCCCCCCCCCCCCCCCCCCCCCCCCCCCCCCCCCCCCCCCCCCCCCCCCCCCCCCTCTCTCTCTCTCTCTCTCTCTCTCAGACAAACAAAGAAACATAAGCCCTTCAGGCTGTGCTCCCCACGCCCCCGTCGAAGGCAATTTTTTAACCCACTGGGAATGCAAACATACTACATACCTAATGAGGTTTTCACAACTTTTCGACGAACTTTTCAATGCTCTCCTTCCTGATCCTGCCAGTTTTCATTTCATATATTTGTTCTTCCCACCTCTCTTTCCTAAAACCTTACTGCATACCTGCCCATGCCCCCCCCCTCCCCGTCACTCCCCCCAAAAAAACTTTCTCGCCACGAAGGCAAATGCCAAGGTTGGATTCCATGGATCAAAAGGACGATAAAGAATACATTGTATTACAGAAGTTTGGCAAGGATGCTAGGCACTTGGTCTTGGGTTTAAACTTAAGTCTCAGATCCCAATCCATAGTGGAGCTTTACTTTGCTCTTGGCGGTTCCAGGTGTCGTCAATAGCTCCTTGTTTTGCTTGCCCGATTCCATATCCATTATTGCCTATCTAACATTTGAATATGGACATTTAATGTTGTTTGTCAGAAAACATGACCACTCCATGCACAAATTGATGCAAAAATAGAAACAGAATAAAGTCGTCACATGCATAAACCAGTTTGGGAAAAGATATCTGGCTCCCATGCTGGAGGCACGCTAATTTTCCAGGAGAGCAGCTGCACGTAAGCGCCGACAAATACAAGCTACAGGTACAGAATACACAGACTGAGCCCTTCTTCGGGCCCAGAGAAGGAAGTCGTTCACTCCGTACTGTCCCCTCCATGCATACAGCCTCTCTTAACTCCGTCTCCTCTTTAATCATTGCTACCATTTCATCCGCAAGCCTGCATTCAAATTGCACACCACCATCCACCGCTGAAACCATTGGTGACGCGTCCGCCTATTGCAAAGCAGCTATTTTCCATCTCTATTTTCATTTTTTCTTGTTTGCCCCTTTTTAACTACAAATACAACATTGCACCAGAATCTGTCCCACAAGGGTGTCCCGTGCCCAAAAGCGTAAGTGGGGCATGGCGCAGAACCCAAGAATGGACCAAAGGAGAACGAGGAACAACAATGCAGTGGAAGACTGACATATGCAGATCTGACACATCGTGACTCAGACTGACTGCTGTACACAGATCATCTCCTACATACGAGGGTGGCATGGCAGCAAACACACAGAAAAAGGCCGACATGACCCTAGCACATACACGCACAAAGGAGGTGTGATCGAGATGAAGTGGGGAGGAGAAACAGGTGTTATGATTCTGGTTGTCTGTTGTCTGAAGACGAACACTCACTCACATAGACTCCCAGGTATGCCCATACATACACAGATGGAGAGAGGATAGGAGTATCCCACTGCACAGGGAGAGATAAACACAGCGGAAGACTTGACCATGCGATATGACAGGGTGCACTGAAAGTGCACTCCACTCCACTCAATCCTCGCAACCAGTCATAAAGGAAAAGCCGAGTAGATCACATCCAAGAAACAATGAAACGATGATAGTCTGGACACAGTATCAACACTGTCTATTAAACTCAGAGTCTCGAATTGTCAGAATAACCCCAGTACTATGGTGCGCTGCTCAGAAATGAGCAGCGCATCACTCCCTGATGAACCGCTATCACCATGAAACGATGATAGTCTGAACACAGTATCAACACTGTTTATTAAACTCAGAGTCTCGAATTGTCAGAATAACCCCAGTACTATGGTGCGCTGCTCAGAAATGAGCAGCGCTTCACTCCCCAACCCCGATGAACCGCTATCACCACCCATGAGTCCCTGAAACATCAAGCGCCACCCATGTACAGCCTCCAGAGGGAAGCGCCACCCTGAGACGACCAGCGCCATAATATCTGATGATGACGAAGTGTCGGAAGGCTTCCCGGGTGGAAGTCTGCAGCAGCGCCACCACTCCTGACAAGATGACCTCTGAGGAAGAAGCTGCAGCGATGGCTGCAGCGCCACAACCCTGTAACCCTACTTCGGAGGAGGGTCCAGCAGGGCACCAACTTCTCTCGCCTCCAGCAGACCTCGAATAGCCCAGACCTCTGTACAGCCCTGCGTGCTGACAGAGTACAGTGCAGGTCCCAGCTATAGCCGGCGCTCCGAAGGTCTGGCTATGTCTGTCTCCCTCAACGCTGAGCCGTCACCACTTCCGGTTCACGCATAGTACAGCAGCAATGTACTCAATACCAACTGCCAAAAGCCCTGAACCGATGTGCCTAACCTATGTATAGTCTACTCTAGCCTAGACTCGACATAGACCGGACTGACTGACCGACCTTAGGCCCTTAGGGCCTGTCTGTCCTAGGGGTAACCCGGATCTGCTATTCGCAGTTAGGGTAGCTGTAAGAAATTCAGTTAGTACGGGCCTGTATTTTCCTGAATTTACAGATATGTCCCTCACGAACTTTCCTTACAGGCAGGTCTCTCGGTTAGCCCTCAGCCAAACAAAGTAACGAATCTAACCTGCAGATAGTACAGCCTCGACAAGAGAGAGGCTACAGACGACCAGAAACCAGCAAGTCATTGCACAGGTGCGAGGATCCTTGACCTCAGTGGGCCCGTAAGCCTTGCGGCCGCCCTAAGTGAAGGCGGACCCGCTGATATCATGGAGGCCTGAATTTTGTCATTTTGTGGCCTTCCTGGGCGCCAGACAGTTACCACACGCCAGTCGGTTACATGGGTCCTGCTAGCGAGCAACTGTGTTTTCCTCAGCCTCCTAGGCTCTTCCAGGTCCTACGTGGAACCAGGCCTTCCGGCCTATCGCGTCGCAGAGAACAGCCCAAGCCACATCTGGCAGTTGGGCGCGCTTTGGTCCGGGAGGGAGAGGGTAGGTACGCACTAGAAGGAAGGAGGCTCAGGGAGTGAGGGATGGAGACCGGCGGGTAGGGTCGGGAAAGATGGGGGGTTGGGATGGAGACTGGCAGGAAAGATAGGGGAGGGAGGGGGAAGGCGTGCAGTGGGAGAACGAGGTTCGGGGAGACAGGTCAGTCTCTCTCTCTCTCTCTCTCTCTCTCTCTCT